CCTGATCATTTATGTATACATTTGTCTATATCTATCTCGATTCGTTTTGGCTGTTACAAACAACCGTTATGTGAACAAAATTAATATACCCTTGTGCACAAGTGCGCTCGGGTATAAAAATATATTGCCGAATGTATGTAGGTGTTACTGAAAGATGTATAAATTCTATCCTAGGTTCGGCCAAAATAATTTTTTTTTTCGAAATTTCTTGCAAAAATACTTTATATTCAGTTGTATCGCGAGGTTTTTTTTGCTTGCTTGTAAGTTGGTACGACCTAATGTACATATGTAGTTACAATGTTACATATGTACATATATAGTATAGTCTCAATTATAGGCAGTTGTAAATATGTAAAATCATTTTATGCCAAAGGCACTGTCGCCTTCCATGTTGTTAACCTTCAAAACGATGTACGCGTATGTATGTACTACCAGCTTGTTCCATATGTTCATACATATGTGCACTTTAATATTAACGCGTGTGTGTGGGGGTAAATATTTTAGAGACAGAGTAGCTGCCCCGGTATGCCATGAAGCAGTTATGAGCAAGCACGCTGAGATGCAGCACAGAGAGTCAAATTTAAATGGCGAAATTATAGAAAGAAGTCGGCCGTCGTAGTCGAGTTTTTAAGTATCTGTAGTCGGCTAAATATCTAATTATTTTTTTTGTCAACGATTGTCCCACGACTGCAAATGGAAACATACGAGTGTCGTAAAGAAGCTTCTTCCAAAAAACCATTTGCAGATTGAGGCTTCCGTAAAATTATAAGTTCCTTCATCAATCTGGCAACGTCGAAATGATCACAAAAAAATTAGAAAAGAAGTTTGGAAAAAATCTTAGAACAACTTATAGCGAAAAAACCCATAATTTATTCTGGCTAAACATAACTATTTATCCAAAGAGTATCAGGGTACATTCGTAAACATACATATGTACATATATTTACGAATTGACGCCTTAAATATTCGCCCATAACAGGAGTGTTCTACCATCACTACAAAGGCCATAGAAATGCCTATTGACCTACAAACATTTAAGCTCCGTATTTATGCAAGAGCCTATAACTGTTTACCTGCTGAGTATTATCCTCAGCGGAACTCACATAATTGCAACCAAATTTTGCGCACTCAATACCTTGCAGAGCACGTTGTTATAATCTCTCATAGCTCTATTGTTTACGACATTGTTGCGCACTGCCGCAGTCACTTATCATTGCAATGTGCTAATTGTCAAACGAGCGAGCGAGCAAACGCTTATTGCGCGCCATTTAATAATTACCACTGCGTCATGGTCGCTCGAACGCCTGCATCGATTGTGGTGACCACATCCGCAATTATCCCTTTGGCCTTTGACTAGGCTCATTTTGTTTTTGTTCGCCACTAATCGGGTGCGTTTCTAGTTGCAGTCCACTGGTGCTGATGCGCTTACCCTTGCTCTTGCTGTTGCTAAGCTAGTTGATTAGCAAACAATCATTACACTGACCCATTGTAGTGGACAACTACCGATTGTGACAGGCAATTACCAATACACATGGATAGCGATGTTGGAGTGAAATCAAGTTTGTACCCCAATTTCGTATCGACGTCATTTCCGACACGTTCTGGTGAACCAGTTGTTCGGCGGCGAACTGCAAAAACAATATACATACTAGCGAATTGCAAAACGATGCTCAAAATCTTTAACATAAGCAAAAAAAAATCCAATTTCAATTTGTGTGCAATATTTAAAAAAAACAATCAGCGAACTTTTCTAAACTTGTCAATCTGAGTAAAAATAAAAAATATATGTAAAGCAGTTTTATAGTTCACTAAATTTTAGTGTAATAGAGTAAATATTTGTATGGAAAAAATGAATCCGATTTGACGTCGTTTCGAGTTCATTCAAACGACTTCATTAGACCACTCGTCTTCGCTCTAAGGCAAATTAGGTAGTTATGGCTCTAACTAAAAAGCGCAAAACTCAAGAAAAACACCTTTCAACTTTTGAATTTTCATTTACTCCCATAGTAAAAATGACGACATATTTTGTTCTAGTGAGATATTGGTAATAGATACAGCATAAAATTTTTACACATACAAAATAGAAGAAAAGGTTGCGGTAGTTTCTGCATACTCAAACAAAAATTTAAATTTTTTGGATTATGGCATTATTGAAGTAATGAAGTAGTTGAGATACACTACAATTTTCCTCCTAATGCTAAGTTTCCACCAGGCACTAAGTGACAAAAAATTTAATGGAAAATTCGTGCATTAAAAAATATTCGAGTTATTACGTCAAAAAAATACTAATTAAATTCATTTACACATGGCATTCTTTAAATCTTTAAATGACTCCAATTTTATTTTATAAGAAATTTTAGGTCTGAACAACACCGATTGTTTATTGAAAATCTATTTTCGCCTGTTATTATCCTCTTATTTTCTTTGCTGTAGTTCTTCTGACTTATCTTTTGCACAGGTTAAGAATATTGCGTGCAAATAATTGGTTAACTTCACATGCCAAAGGATATCATGCTCTCCTTCTTTATTTTTGTTTCCTTTCTTGCTTTGAACTTTTTCAACAAATAACTCAACAGTTTTTGCTCGTTTCATTTTTCCTTATAAATTTTATGTATTTAAAGAGTTTATTATTGCAATACACACAGTTTGTGTATGTATATACATACATATCGCACACGATATTCAAAAGTGACACAACTCAAAATTACACGTTCGTTAGAAAATGGGGGAAAAACTATTTCTTAGGGCGGGCTAATTTTATGTGGGCAAGGAAGACTTTACCTTAGGCTTTTTCTACAAAGTATAAAAAAAATTTGCTCCACCTTTTGCTGAACGCTAAATAAAAGCTCTCTGTATATTTTTAGTGCATAATCTCAGAAATGCCAAATTGTGAGGAGAGATGCAAATGCAAATATCTGAGGGTACTCTTCATAAAGACAGGTAAGTGATATGTATTTTGGATAAAATAATAGGGTTGGAGAAATATATTTTGGCAAAAAAAAATGCAGTTTGATAGGCTATATCAAAGGGTCTGAGCAATGGGAGGCTCATCGTTTGTCCTTTTGGAGGCGTAACAGGTTTTTGGATGCAGTTGTTATACTTCGAAACCGAAAGGTTGAAATTTTTTTTTTTTAACCGAACGTAGTGTCTTCATTTTTCGTCATATGTTCGGCAGGTATAGCCGGATCTTAAAGTGTGATATGTCACTGTCTTCGAGAAGACAGTTTTTTCGTTACATAGTTCATTGACCTCAAGTACCTCGCTCTAGTACTTACTCATTAATTCAATGTTCCTACCAATGTTCGTACCAGTAAATTAAAGCTCTCCAAAAATTATTAAACTTTTGCAGAACTTACAAAAATGTTGATAATATCGAAAGCATTGGCTATCTTTACTTGTAGAGAGACCATAGGCATTGAAAAATTCGAGAATTTACAAATTAAATTAAAACTTAAATAAACCAAAAATCGTAGTCTCTAGCAACCAGTTGATATTTTTTTTTCTACAAGGAATCCAAATTCCTCTGCGGAGCACGTTTGTCGTGGAGCAACAAATAGCAACTGCTAAGGAAAATAAAACAGGACCACACTTGGAGCGTAGTTAGAAAGAACTTCCAATCGCGACCAGTGTGCATGCGCTGGAAATTCATTCAGAAATATTTGGCGGCATTTTCGCTCTCTGTTGACATTTTTCAACAAACAACATTGCCAACGACAGGTATGTTAAGCCAAAAAACAGATGTTAGCGAGCAATAAACGATGTCCGAGACTCGGCCGAAATCCACTATGCGCTCGTCCTTATTAAGCCATGCGAGGACATAAATTCAGTCAGTTATTTTCCAAACGTGCCGGTGTGAAGAATAGAAAATTCCGAGAAAAAAAGGAAATAAGCGCTCCTCGGACGGTGAAATAACAGTTTGTGCTAAAGCATCAAAACGCGCCAATCTATTAAAAGTTGGCAAAGAAGCGTTGTGAGTTGGGAGAAGTGTGTTTCTTTTATTTATTTGTGTGTTTATGTGCACATTAGACGTCCATATATGTATACACATCCAGCAGCAATTTGTTGCTTTACTTTTGATGGCACTGTTTGTGCAATAACATTCGCCGCGAGTCGAGTGTCTGTGTGTGTTTGTTTTTGTGTTTATGTGAAATGTTGGCAACTTGGCTGTCAGTTAATGTTGCAATTATATGCGTAAATTGAATTGAATTTAAATGCTTCCGTCTGACAAGAAGGAAAGAAGCGTAAACAGCAGGTTGCCGACGCGGTTGCCGACGCGGTTGGTTATAATAAAAGCGCCTAAGGAGATCAGACAGACACAGGCAGAGACAAAAAACAGACAGAGCAGAAGGAATGAAAATGAAAAGCGACAGGATAAGGGCCTATCTACTACTTAGACGATTATTAGATGCCCAAAGGAGAAGGGATTTTTTAAACGCGTAAAACTTACGATTTAACAAATTTCAAAAGGAAGTGGCACTGAGTGCGAAATTAAAAACAAAGTGGAATTTAATGCTTAACAAATGGAAAACGCAATTTAATAAAGACTTTTAAACTTATTTATGTATATATTTCGAGTAATTGATAGCAATTTGAAAAGTAGTATGAGCGTGCACGCATTCTGGTTCAATTTTGAATGGTTTGCTCTCTTTTTAACCGACTTCACAAAATATATATATATATTTTTATTCTTTTTTTTATTAATTTTTTTCCTCCCCCATTCTAATTACGTTTAAAATCGATCATTGGATCGTGATGAGATTAATGACAATCTTAAATATTTATCTGAGAATTGAAGTCGATTTTGTTTTTTGCTTAAAAATTACTTGTTCTCAATATTGCACACCATATATTGACTAAATAACCCCCCTATGTTCCTCACTCCGTATTACTTATTTTTATGTAAACCTGTGTAAATACATACGTATATGTGTATGCTTAAGGATTTCATAAAAATAAAAAGAAAACATATACATACACGTGCACCACCCGTAAAAACCAAAAATATAAAACAAGAGATAAAAACCGTTTGAAGCTCAGCCGTTGCCGCTTTAACTGTGTGCCTGCCACTACCTAAAAACACTCTTCATTCCCCATGTCCCTCGGTAGTAATTCTAGCAGCAAAGTTAACGCGCTTTCGTAAGCTCTCTGTTAATGGCTGCTTGGAGAATTTGGTCCCAAAACATGAAATATTTATGTAAAAAACGTACCAAATCCGGAAATACGAATTAAAGAAAAGTAAATTCGCGCGAAAAAGTAATCAAATTACGAATAAAGCAATACTATCAGCAAAGCACAAAACACAAAAAAAATAAAAATAAAAATCGAATGCCAAAGCGAGCAGTGGTAGTACATTAGTACGTATGCTTTGCGCCAACGGTGAGAAAAACTTAAAATTGCCAAAGTTTTCTTTCAAAAAAATTTAAAGCACTGAAAAAACTCAAAACGGACTTGCAAAATAGAAGCACAGATATGTAGACAGATTGTGGTTCAAAGAAAACCTCAAAAAAAAAATACACATTTATGCAAACATATGTATGTATGTGCTCAGATTAACTATACAGTGGACGTCCAATAAAAGGAATCTTAAGTTGTGCGCCTAATTCGTAGTTAGCATCGAAAAATTCTTTAAATATAGTGACTGTTTTTTCGATAATTTTTAACCGTTATAATGAGACTAAGTTTTTATGACCAGCTTAAATCTTTTATGATCTAAAAAATTAAGTGTGAAATGATAATAGTAATCAAAAGTAACGTTGAAAATTGGTCGAAAAAATAGAAATCCAAAAACAAAGATTATTCCTGATCGAAAAAAATTAATTTCCAAAAATAACGGTTAGAGTTGATCGGAAAACCAAAAATCCAATTTTAACGGTTAAACTATGGCTTTTATTATAAATATCATTGCCGTTACCTGCGGTCAGCTAATTTGCACGGAAATTCAAAATCATATTGTTTCCAACTAATATTTATTTATTTATTTTTGAGAAATTTTAATTTAAAATATAATTCAGTCTATAACAGAAACCACATAAATAAAAGTCTGAAAGCTTGCACAAATTTCAAAAAAAAAAATCAAACTTCATAAAATTGTCATTAAAATTTCAAAATTTGTTGAAGAATAATGTTTAAAAATGATTTTGGGTATGCAGTTTTTTAGCCCATTCAATTCTGATCAAGTCGCTATAGATTACCGCTGATTTTTATTGATTTTTTTTTGTGAAGGGTGTTGCGGTTTTTTTTTCATATAAACAAAAATTTTGATCATGCGTTATATGGAAGAAAATGTGCAACACCCTCCACAAAAAAAAAATAAAATATAAAAAAAAATTTTAAATTAAAAGTATTAAATAAAAAAAAGCATAAGTTGAAAGAAAATCATTTTGAATTTCGGTGCTAATTAGTTAACCGCACGTGTATATATAGTATTCCAAGCAAAGGCAGACTACGGAAAAAATTCAGTTCAACAGTTAGTTAAATTGAATGAAACGTTGACTACAGGCCTGGTTTTCCAACAGAAGGTGGCCATATGCCAAAATATGCAATTTTTTTTTGTCAAGAGCATGGTAGCATTTTCAAATCCGAAATAGTTTGTTAATTGATAAAGTATTACATATAACCCTTGGGGAAATAAAGCCGATTTTTCTTTATATGGCCCAGTCTGATCTACATTTCTTTCGGCTTCAGTAGCGATTATATTCAAAGTGTATGCAATCAGATGAAATCCTAGTCCTCCTACCATATAGTACCCGTAGTAGCTTTTTAAAATAAATACGTGCCCCGAAAATATTTAATTCCATTTTGCCCGAATTTGATTCTCCTTACTTGCATTTTTGAATCAGAGTTTGGGAGAAGGTAGAGGATAAAATCGTTAAGCATAAGCTGCTTAACATTTCCTCATGTATGCAAATAAACTTTACTTACATACCTACATACATAAGTATAATCAACACACAGACAAATGTACCTAACGCTCGGTGTGTATTCGTTTGAAGATCTTCAGGCGACACCTCAAGCATTGATGCAATGTCAACAGTGTCGAATGTGACCGTACAAATATACACTTACTTAATGTATGTAATATACATATTCCCAAAAAAAAAATACGGTGATAAAAAAAGCGCATGTAAAAAAAATAATTGAAGTTAAAAACACTCAACCAAAGGAGATTTTGTTTTTGCCAAAGGCTTAACTGTACATATTTGCGTGTGTGTAATTATATTTAAATACATTAGGGTGCCTCACCAAAAAAGTTTTAAGATTTGGGTAAGCTAGACCGATTTTAAGATACCTCCAAAAATCTCTTTATTTAGATTCCGTTGATAAAAATTTTAAATTTTTGTGCCATACCTTTTAAGCTTAAGCTCTTCTAACATTTGCCTTGTTTTTTTAGAAAAAAATTTAAATACTAGTTTTACTTATAAATACCTCGATTTTGGGAGTATTTTTCTGAAATATTTGGCGGAAGTCTGAAAATATATGAATTCCTATGGAAAAGTAGTCCAATTTTTTTTTAATTTTTTATTATTTTTTTGTTGGAGCATGGTGCACCCTAATATGCATTTAAATTTGCATATGTACGCATTCGTTTGGTAATGCGTGTGAGTGTGCATTTCTGCAGTAATGGCAGTGCAAAAGTGCACTAAATTAATTTTATGTGTGAAGTCACTTGTAGGCAAATGTGGATAAAAAATTACGTGAAAAGTGCATAGTGAAAAGTGAGAGGCGTTGTAGTGTTACTTGTGTTCACATTTGCAAAGAGATGCGCGACAGTACGGCGCTGAACAATCAACGAAAACATGTACAAATTCTCCAGAGCGCCATATCGTATTAAACTTTGTTTTTCATTGCAGTATTTTTTGCAATAAACTGAACATCCGATAAGCTGGTGAAAAGCAACGCGTTTGACAAAAAAAAAAAANAATCTCTCCCCTGAAAGGCTTCATCATCCGTCAAAGTATTTTTATTGAACCTTGGACCGACTAAGGTTAAAATTGATAAAATAATATTTTTCTGTGGCGATAAGTTCAAGTGTTTTAGCCGATATCATATAAATTAGTAAGGAAAGTTTTTTCTAAACCTGAAATACATATAATGGCGAGGGTTTAATGTAAATAATCGGTATCGGATACCGAAAAGGAAGTATAGGGTACCGAAATCTTTTTTAAGTATTGGGTATCGAGTATTGGGGACAATTCAGCACATCACTAGTCGCCCTCATTCTCGCCGCTCTCAGTTGTCAGCTCTACGATGACGTCACGCTAAAATTACTCTCACGAATTCTGCTGCAATCGGCGCAATCTTGTATTCTATCATTCTTGTTGTATAGCCACAACTAGGCATATATCACATATCCGCGCTGCGCTGTTTAAGTAGAAGCGGCGAGTTTTTTGTTTCCCTTCAGCTTTCGCTGCTAGGAATTTTTCGTTATTGCTTTTGCATTGTTTTTTGTTTTTTTGAAAATTTCTCACTTACTCGTTTTCAACGCACCCCGCTATTTAATATTGAGATGGACAATGTGCAACAAATACAACAAACACAACGCCAGTCGGTGCTGCAACAACAGCGGAAACAGCAGCAACACCGCCACCACCACCCCCATCAGCTGCACATGGGTGTTTAATCTCTTGGCGGTGGCCTTATTAATCCAACATGTCGCCTGTGTCACACAAGCCAGCGAGCATGTTTCCGTTGCGGCAACAGCAACAACAAAGCCGACCACCAACACCGTCATTCCATTCTCGCTCACACCACCCACAGTGTTGCTAGTGAAGCGTCATGTTGACGTTGGTGGCGGCGACAACAAAAAGGTTCAGGCGACACATGCAGATGGTGGACTCGCGAGTCGCGCTACGAGTCGCCACCTTAGCACAATCGACGCCGTCGGCAGCGAAAGCAGCAAAGCAGCTGGCGATGGACTGAATTTCGCCGCCTATGTAAACGGTAAGTTTCAAGCAAAAACATGCAACATGGGAAATTTATTTATAAAATTCCTGCAAAATAAATAAAATATACAGTCACATATATAGTCACAGGGATATACATATGTATGTATATGGGGCGTTCCATACCAAAATGAGTTTGATTTATTTCATTTAGAGATGTTGGAGCAAAAAAACCAAAACAAATCTATTTAATAGTTTTTCAAATATGAGGAAAAAATTTGAAAAAATCACACATACACACATCAAAATTCTCTATGAAAAGAAATGTTTTTTAAATTTTTTTTTGAAAAATTTTTGTTAAAAAATTACAATCGCTTAAAACTTGCACCTTATTATATTAAAATTTAATGGGCTACAAAACTGCATATTTAAAAAAAAGAAAAATTTTAAAAATTTGTAAATTTGTATGTACTCGTTTTACTCAACATTGGTGTAAAAAAATTCATAACTCAAATTATTACAGGGCACGCCATAATACTATACTTAAATAATGTGCAATACTCAGAGCAACCATTGTGATTTTTTTCAGTTTTTTTTAGATGGCATATTTTCAAAAACTATTTTTTTTATCAAAAAATGTGTATGT